TTTTGAAGATTAATCAGAGCTGAGCCACCAGCAGGATAGTCTTATAACTATTCATTTGCATGCATTTCTAATATAACATACAGTATCTTATATATTGATACCTTTCTCACTTTTTTTTCCCTTTCCTACAGTTTTATCACAAGTGCAAAGTCTGCTTGTTTTCAGATCGACCAAATGTTGATCCATTGGTTGTTACAGGAATTGACCAATCGGCTTGTCACCCAAGCCTGGGCTGAGGAAGAGTGATTGGCACAAAGTCACCAGCACGTTTTCATGCCTCAGGTGGGCTATAATTCCTGGTTTCTAGTCTCATCTCTTAACCACTACACCAAATTGGCTCTCAGATAAATTGATATAATGCTTTATTAATTTTCAATATTATGCATTGCCAAGAGCCCTTCCCCATGAGAGAATTAAATAAATTCCTTTAATAAATCAACTCTATAATTTGGTTGCAGTCTTTGTCAACCCTTATTCTCACAAAGCTTTTGTGTTGGTTCTGGAACTAGCAAGAATGGTAACCATGAAAACCTGACACAGGCCACACTTTCCCATCAATTCAGGAATCTGAAAGCCTCTTCAGAGATCTCTCTCTCTGCCTTTTCTACTCCCCTGTGAAAATTCAGCTTTTGATTTGATCATCTATAATAATAACCATAATAAAAGTAAATGTGCACAACTTTCTCAATTGCTGTTTTCCCTTAATAACCCTTTGTTAGAATTTCACTTTCCCTAAACTTCCCATTTCCCTAGTACTTCAATTTGAGTAAAATTAACCTCCTTATCAACTTTTGCTTAAACTGATTATGCTTCCTGTCGGGTTTATATAACCACTCAACCCCCAATGTGCCGTACTCGGCCTCATGCTTAGCTCTCAATTGCCCTCTCTGATTTATCTTGTTCTGTGCTTTTGATTTCCATGTTAAGCTTTGTCCTACATGAGCAAACTGACTTTATATGAAAATATGCTAATTTCTCTATTTCAGTGTGTTCTTCTATGTGTCATGTTGATGCATTGTTTATTTGTTTCTGCAGAATTCCTATGTGTCGTTATTGATGGAATTCACCGAGACATATCTTAATAAGCTTGCATCATGACATTTAGCCAGATATGATAATAAATGGCTATGGGTAGGGGAGTTTTTCATTTAAATAGCATTTTAGGTTAACTCGTTGTTTTCAGGTCTATACAGGGGTGAAATCCAGCAGCTTCTGACAGGTTCTGGAGAACTGGTAGAGGAAATTTTGAGCTGTTCAGAGAACTGGTAGCAGAAATTTTGAGTAGTTCGGAGAACCGGCAAATATCACCTCTGGCTGGCCCAAGAGTGGGGTGGGAATGGATATTTTGCAATATCCTTCCCCCAAGAGTGGGGAGGGAAGGGGGATTTTGCAGTATCCTTTCTCCGCCATGCCCAACAAGCCACGCCCACCAAGCCATGCTCACAGAACCGGTAGTAAACAAATTTGGATTTCACCACTGGGTCTACAGTATATCTATATTTTTTGTAAGGTTTAAACAGTGTTTAATAATAAAGGCCTATATTACAGGGTACAATAAATGTCATAAAAATGTATGAGAAATATGTTGTATGTTTAGGTGGCACCATGCAAATAGTCAATATTTTTATTCCACACATACTTTTTCTCATCCAAACAACAACAGTAGCTGTCTGTGACTCTTATTCTCCAACCCACATATTATTTTGAAAGCAGAAACACTGTATCAGTCAACTTTCCTTACCTTTTTGCAGTGTACTATATTTGTGTTAAACTGCAGGTTAAGATTACTCATTGATTTATATTTTACTTGTACACCCACAGAAACTATGTAAACCAAGACATTTGTGTATCTATACTTTCCAAAGCAAATGGAGCCATTTTAGATAGAACAATATTAATATTTTTATACAACGTGGCCCCCTTTAAGGTAAAAATGGAATCCCTGACCTAATGCTGATACCAAAAGGCACATTTGTTATCATTCATAAACAAGTAAGTGACTATCTAGATCAGGGGTCTCCAACCTTGGCAACTTTAAGACTTGTGGACTTCAACTCCCAGAGCTTCGCTGGCTGAGGAATTCTGGGAGTTGAAGTCCACACATCTTAAAGTTGCCAAGGTTGGAGACCCCTGATCTAGATCATTCACTCATTTTTTTAACTTCCAAACACAGACCTCCATATTGTCCTCTATAACACTTGCTGATTTTAAAAAATCCTATTTTTAATACATTAATTATGATGATTCTGATTAAAAAGAGGAAATAGCTAAGAGCCACCAAATGCACAATACAAGACTATTTCTAATTGTCACAGGAGTCTGCAGAAAATCAGGCTGTCAAATATGTCATCTATTCCTGTAAAGCTTTATTTACAAAAAAAATTGTCAGTTGAGCAATATACTAAAAAGAAATCCTGGATCTTAATGCAAATTTAATCTCATGCTTGAATGTCTGCAACGAAGTTAGTTTGTGCAGCAAAATATGCTCTCATTTCCTGTAACACCGTCCAGGGAATATAGTGGAGTCAAAGAACTCATGCCATAAAAACAAAAGGCCTTTTTAATTTCTTTTTTCTTTAAACAATGTCTTATTGGGTATATATTTCCAACAGGGACCTTTGTTAACAAATAGACTAAAATAATACAGTATCACAGTAATGCTATAATAATACTGTATTATAATAATATAGTAATATTACTGAATTGGATACATTTTAATTAATTAAGACATTTTTATCAGATCTGATCTGAGTAGACTTTTTCTGCTGGCTGATCCCAGCAGCCCCGTGGTTCTCTCAAGAACCTTAAGAAATAAAGCACATTAAGAGATGCCTAGGTGATACAGCCATCAAAGAGTAAGTAAAGAAGATGAAACACAGATACAAGTTCATATTCAAGCCTACTGTGTGGTAATCAGGGTGGCAAGGCATAGCTATTTGTCCATTCTTATTGCCTCTATGGACTGCAGTTGCATTATTGAGTGTGTCCTAGATCCTGCTAGGGAAGAACGGGTGGGGAAAAAACAATGTATACTGGAATTATTTGATTGAGAATTTTGTGTTCAAAGTTGATCATCATTCACTTTGATTTGGAATCCAGATAGATGGAATCTATTGAAATGACTGGAATGATCTTGCTGTTCTCTATAATTTTAGTTTCACCGTTTGTAACTAGATTCCTGCATTACCTAGCTGATTAAAGCAGTCAGGGAGCAAACTGGGAGTTGGATATAGGCAATAATCACTATTTCTTTGAAGGAAGAAGTTCCAAACCTTCTCATTCAAGAAGAAGCTCAACCTGAAGCTCAACTACCATCCAATCTCCAACCCTTCCCTTTGACGGGGAGGGGGAGATTGTTGAGGAAAGTGATAGGGTTCCAGTTACATATGCTATAGGTTATCATCCAGATAGTTTGGTTTCAGGCCCATATATGGGGTGGAAACCACATATATGCCTTGTGGCAAGACTTGGATGGAGGACTTTGACTTTGACCAACCTGTCTTCTTATTTCAATCGCCCTCAATACTCACAATTTCAGAATCTTTCTGGATTATTTACAAGGACTAGGAACTGGTAGCAATGATTTACAGCAGTTTTTCTCCTATCTAAAAAGGCCAACCCAACCAGGGTACAGAAAAGATCAGGCATATAGATTCTATTGATTTTTTTTTCTTCTACCTACATAACATCTGCATACGAATCATTACGAGATGTTATCCATCAGTTCTGAATGAGGTATCATCAATAGCATGATGATAATTACTTGTACATCTCTATTCTGAACCCAATGGGGGTTATGATAGAAAGACTGACTTGTTGCCTAAAGGCTGTCCCAGTCTAGATGGAAAAAAGGGTTAAACACAACTCAAACAAGATAGAATGACTATTAATTCAGAAGACTATTGATTCCAAGATAATACCAAGTTGAAATAGCAGGTTCATAATTGGGGAGGGGAAGACTCCTAGACTCATGGCTTGAAAAAGATATAAAATTATGGTCAGGAGGGCCTTTTACCAACTTTAGCTAGTGCGTTTATTGTAGTCTTAAGTAGAACAGGACAAACGGTCACTTATCATCTCTTGGGTAAATTAATGCAATTGGCTTTAACAAGATTTCTACCATTGAGGACTATTCAGAAACCTTATCTAGTCCACAATACAATGACCTGCAAATTTATTGATCCATCATGGTACTGCCACAATACACACTGCTGTTGGTTCTGCACTGGTTATTGGTAAATTTACAAGTATAGGTTAAGATGTTGGTTGTTACCTTTAAGCCCTAAATAGCTCAGGACCTGGGTATTTCAGATATCACATTTTTTATATGGTTTCTGTCTGTCCACTCCTATAGGCAGGGAGGACTTGCTAAAGCTCCCAGTTAGGGTGGAAATCATATTATGGGGTGGGGATGTAGGCGATAGCAGATAGTCTCTGTTGTATGTCTCTCCTATGGAACAGTCCTCCCACACCACCATCATTCCTCTAACAAATATGGCCTCTTCTCTTTTGACATCCCAGAAGCTGGTAAAAACCTAATTCTGAGAAAATACTTATGGAGCCATCAGTGCCTCTATTGTTTACCTTTACTTTTTTATTGTTGTTTTATTGTGTTTTCAATATACTGTATGGAAATCACCTAGAGTCTATCCATCTTGAAACAGGGATACATTCCTTAAATGCATAAATAAGATTTTTAAATAAAGTTATTGACTGCAGCAACCTCTTTCTCAGCTGATTCATAAAAAGTTCTCAAGAGCCAAAAGAAATCACAAAGATATCCAAATGATGGCTTATATAATGCTGTGTGTGCGTTGGTGTATTGCAGCATTTGCTCGATGACATCCTATGCCCTTTGCTCCCATGTCGAGACTCATGAAACCCATGACACTCAAAATCTCCAATGGAAAAATAGGAACAGAAGAAAGAAAAGCAAAGTTTTATATGAACAAATAGATCATATTATTCACTGTTAAACATTAGACAGGTATTTGCCTTACCTTGAAAGAGAAATGCTTTGCTGGCGTTATGTAGTCCAGACACCTGTGTAACTCCGATAGTCATATTGACAAGATCCAATTCTTTGATAATATCAATCTGTAAGCTAGGGTCCATTCCAAGGCCTACAACTATGAGACAAAAGATTGATTTCAGTGTAAGTGCAATAGTTAAAGATACTATACAATAATGTACAATGAGGTATGCAAATATGAATTTTAAATCAGCACTTGTTCTGTAAGTAACAAAAAATGTATTTGATTTATTTGCCATCCATCTCATATAGCACTTAGTACCTAGATTTATATACCACTTCATAGTGCTTTACAGCACTCTTTAAGCAGTTTACAGAGTCAGCATACCCCCCCCCCAACCATCTGGGTCAGGGGTGGGTTCTACTTACCTTTACTACTCGTTTGCAATGGGGCCGCACGCATGCACAGAAGCATTCTGATGATATCGGAATTGGTGGGTGAAGCCTCCCGCCGGTTTTACTACCGGTTCTATAGAACTGGTGCGAACCGGGGGCAACCCACCACTGATCTGGGTCCTCATTTTACCGACCTCAAAAGAATGGAAGGCTGAGTCAACCTTGAGCCAATCAGGTTTGAACTCCTGGTAGTAGGCAGAGTTAGCCTGCCATACTGCATTCTAACCTTTATTTATAAAATTTATTTGCCACTCATCTCATATCCACCAACTCTGGGCGGCTTACAACATGGGAAACATTGAAAAACATTACAATCATCCATTGTAAAAAATACAGGTTGTAAAAAAAACATTGTAAAAAAAGTAGGTTTAAAAAAACCAACAGTTAAATGGCAGAGAGGAGCCTGACATACAGGAGAGTGAGGGGGGGTTGAATTATCAATGGAATTAATCAACTCGCTCCAGTATGAAACTCCCCCATTGGGTGCTAAGCCCTCTGACAGAGCCAGGTCTTAAGAGTCTTATGAAATGTTAAGAGAGTGGGAGTCAATCTCATCTCAGGGGTTGAGATGTTCCAGAGGGCAGGAGCCACAAAATGTTGCACTGCCTTAACTGAGACCCATCGTTCAGAACAGTTATGGACTATAATGCACAATAAATTATGATTATTAATGCAGCAACATGACATGATATTCTAGCCCTACAAATGAATAAGTCTTTAAGAACCAGAGAGATAAACAGTAAGAAACAATGGATGAAAAAAAATTGTGATTTCTTAGCCAAGCGATGTGTGCCTAATGGTTGCATGGTAAGCATGTGTCAGATTATAAACCACACTTTTTCTTTAACAGGTTTGTTCTAGGTTTTGAATGCGATTTAGAATGTAATTTGGATGCATTTACAGTTTCCACTAGAAGGAAAAGGGTTTTACATTTGGAATTATTGGGAGCACAGAGTCAGGATAATTGTTCCCCTGGGAAACTTGGAAAGCTAGGCTGTTGGATTCCCACTAGCTGAGACCAAGCTACTGACACAAAGCCAAATTTGCAGTTTGTAGGTTCCAGGTTTTCAGGCTGTCAACCCAATATTGTTATAAAAAGCCCCCTTTTAGGCAAGGGCCCATTTACCTTGAGGCAACTTTGCATGGAAATGACTTATAAACAGGTGCAAAGCATGCATGCACAATGGTTTTATACTGACTCGGCACAAAAAAGACTTGTCAGCCTGCAGTTGCTTAAAGAAACAACTGTGAGCTGCCTAAGGGCTGCAAACATCTGCACCACAACAAGGATTCCAAGCATTTCACAGTCCAGCAGGCAGTCGGCATTGTCAAAACTGACACCACTCATGTGTTCACCAGCAAGATCCTCACATGCTCTAGCACATACAGCATGCTCCACTGCCACAGATAAGGAAGACATCTCCTCAAGAACACTACTTTGTTCATATGATTCTGAATTCTGGTTCATCTATTTTAGAATTTCTAATACTGCAATTGTCTTACTGAGACAAAAACAAGCCAACAGCCAGAGCACCCACAGGGGGTGGGGAGACGATGACAGGAGGGGGCTATGTCAAAATCTGAAAGATGGCAGCTTCACAGTCCAAACCTGCCCCTTTTATACATATGTTCAATATTGCATGGATGTACAAAGGCAACCAGGCTTTTATCGCAGGGCTGCGCTCACCATTTGACACATTTTTATCTCTTTCCTAGGAACACCCATGTCAATTACTTTGTCATTTCTGTCAAAATCAGGTTTGCAACTGGACTTTTATTCCTTGCAAAATAAAACATGATGACTGTCTCCAACTGTTACTTTTCTTTCCTTTTTTTTTTTTGATTAAATAACTTTCTTAAAAACATTTAATATAAACAATGTAATTCCAAAGTAAGTGAAGGAAACCCTCAGTCTAATGAACTAATAAGGGGAGGAGTACCTATTAAGGCTAAATGTCTGTTAAATAGCAAATAATAATAATAATAATAATAATAATAATAACAACAACAACAACAACAATAACAACAACAACATTTTGAACATTTTGACTCTACAAAAAACCACCTTACTCGGAACAGCTTACATCCTCCACGATACCTTAACAGTTCCTAGGTCCTTGGTTAGGATTTAAGCTGCTGAGCTATTACCCAGCCTCAAAGGCTGTGAATCTCACCAAAGATTAAATAATAATAATAATAATAATAATAATAATAATAATAATAATAACAACAACAACAACAACAACAACCACCACCACCACGCCCCAAAATGCTTAAATCATGTGCCCCCTTCTGTTCTTCTGTGGAGCCCCCTGTAGCACTACTCTTCATACACTGGCTCAGTAATCCACATAAAATCACACAAGATTTTGAATTAATTGATCCCAATCCTAAATTAATCTCTCAATTTAACCGACCTCAGTTTAGCATACTTCAGATTTAATGGACAAAGTCTGTGGTATATAAACGTTGCCCGAATGTTCATTATTATATTGGGACTTCCTTTTTCAGTAATAATTTTTCAGAAAATATTATTTCTATTTCTTATCTACTATAAAGAATGGTATTTAGGAGGTATAAATATAGCAGTTAAACAAGGAATGGGGTTTCAGTCATTGCGCTTGTAGGACACGTTGATCAAGTCATGGTTTAGTCAATGAAACCAATTTTCCAAGTTTCACACTCCTTTGCTTGCAATAATTAAACAAAATGCTTAGGTAGGAAGGCAGGTTTACTCATATATATCTTTGCTATACTTCAAGATCCTCCTCCATTACCTCAGAATTGATGATTGATCCACAGTTCCATGCTTACCACATGGATCAGGCTTGCAGTATTAATCTGTCTAAATCATCTCTAATATAACAGCTGCCTGAGACATCTCATCATCCACTTTAAGAGTGGAGAACAGTGGTAGGTCTTTGGAACTCAAAAGTGAAGCATTGTACCAGTATGTAAGGAATACTGCTGGAAAGTGTTGCACAAGGAGGAGGGGGTGATTGCTGTACAAGTGTTTTGGGGGCTCAAAAATAAATCCCATTTGCCATTTAACAGACAGCCTTAACAGCTACCCTTCCCTCCATTCCCTTAAATTGAGGGTTTACTATATGCTGTACTCAATGTTTTAAAATATCATTTCCCTGCAAATTATGTACATCCCACAATCCCCTACATTAGAAAGCTTCACTCACATGCTTTGTGGCTTGAAAATAATTTGAACTGAATGCATTTGTAGGAAACAAGACAGCAAAACTAAGGAGGAAGCTTTCTTTATTCCTGTTTTATTATTTTGAATGGAAAAACAACCGAGATGCAAGAATCACATTCATTTAACTTCTTAAAGTATTAGCCTCAGATGATAACTTGGTAAAAGTTGGGCTGCTTGAACAAGCAGCAGACTGTATAGTTCAGAGCACTTTTTCAAATCCTTTTAAAAATAAAACGTTCTAATAAAAATATTCTCTGCTTTCTGTCATCCAGACTTACTCTATGTTTTTTTTTAAAGCAAATTTTCTCTTTGCCTCTCTTTCTAAAATTTTATTAAGGACATAAAAGAGACTGAGATTGCCATTAAATAGGAAATAGCTTAGCGTGATATGTAAATCTGACTTTAACCCCTGGGAAAGGTTGGTTACGTTAGCTGGTCCAGGATCGGTTCTAGGCTAGGTCAAGACAAGGCTCTATGACAGGGGTGTGAAACTCAATTTCATTGAGGACTGCATCAGGGTTCTATTTAACCTCGGAGGGGGACATGGCCAGGATGGACATGGCCAGCTCGATGTCACTCATGTTGGGGGTGTTTTGTTTTCACTGGCAGAGGCACCGTGAGCCAGTCCTTCCCTGTTTTCAGGGCAGCCCCGCGGGCCTGACCTAATTATCCCGTGGTCTGGATCTGGCCCACAGGCCTTGAGGTTAACACCCCTGCTCTATGACTTGGGAGGCATTAATGCCCCTCTCCCAAATTGGTAATGAATAGATGAATATTTCAAGATGAGGGCAAGAAACTGTGCTTGGCAGGTACCCTCTCCCATCCCAATTCTCTCTCACGCGTATCCTCACCCTGTCTGAGGACAGGAAAAAAAACTATTTGGAGCTGAAAATCATAAGTGTAAAACTCAAAAACTTGAAAGAAAGAAACAAGAGGGCACACTTTGAAATTCCTAACAAAATCGGACAATGAGCCAAACTCTAGGGCAGTGATGGCGAATCTTTTTGCCGTTGTGTGCCAAAAGCAGGGGGAGCATGGGGGGATCACACACACATGTATCCACATCCATAATTCAATGTGCCCTGCCCCCTCATGCATGCGCACGTTACACCACCACCACCCCCAGTTCCCCCTCTTTTGGCACGTGATGGCACATGGGCCCGGTAGGCCCGTTTTTCGCCCAACCCAGGCTACAGTGGCTTTCTAGGAGCCTGGGGAGGGCAAAAACTGCCTTCTCCACCCTACCAGAGGCCTGTTTCCCGACTTCCAGTCCCACTATGCGCGCTGGAGCTGAACAAGGGCAATGCTTGAGTGCCCACCGATATGGCTCCACGTGCCCCCTGTGGCACACGTGCCATAGGTTCGCCATCACAGCTCTAGGGGGTTCCAGTATATGACTTTTCTTAGGATGCCTAATTATCTAGAGCTGGCTCTGGGCAAGTTATAAGTGTGATTAATAAATTAATCTACCCATATAGATTTAGATTGACATG